TATTGACATTGAGCTTCTAGGAAAAAAGGTTTTGTTCAGTTGTCCTTTACAAATAATTTTTAAAAAGTCGCGGTGTATAGAAAAGCTGGGTTTAGTGAATACCGCTTTTTTCTACTGACTTTTTCATCTTCAGTATCAAGTAAGAGGGATGATGAAAGAGTTTTGCAGATCAACCAGGAAGTGTCATTCATACAACTCCTTGCCAAAAATGATTTTTTTCATAAGAATTTTTTGGTCTCATGTAAACTACAAAATCAATCATCTAAACCTCTTCAATCAATACCTCTGCTATGTCCTTGTTGAGTTGTTACTGACTAAAGCTTTATTTCTAAACACTTATCCTACGGACATAGCTGAGGCGCAAACAGTTACTCCCTGAGCGTATGCATCGAAATGACGCCTTGTTGTAAAATAAGGACAGATGCTCGCAAACGAAATATGGATTTACAGTGTTTTGATAAAAGAATATATTCTCCGATGTTTTCATATCCTATTTAGTATCTTCTCAGTATCCTCTTGGTTTGGTTTATATGTCATTTGATGACAATCACGGGTTTTGAGCCTGTAGGAGGGCAAGCTCGAACGGATAAAAACGTTTCACTGACGGTATTGAGTGAGTCACCATGGTTTCAAGTGCCGTACCCAGGTGAGGATGTCTCAAGTGGTTATTACAAAAGGAGGTTTGCTTGCAGTTCAGGTCAATTTGGAATGCCGCGATGGAGCATAGGATTGTGTATTGCATATATTGCATCTTGTCTATCCAGTGTGATTGAGAATATCGGCTCCTATGAGCTGCTGGCAAGAGTATCGGAGCAGAGTCCCCCTCCTAAGGATGCTGTTAACCGAGCCATTATGGTAGAAGGCGAGTCATTAAATTCCACTATATTCCAAGCATTTGAGGCTGCAAAGTAAAAGACGTAGAAGAGAAAAGAAATGTATACTAAATGGATAGCTCGTTTTGACGTGTCGAGATACAGGCGCTGTGGGCTGCGCTGATTAGAGGAGCTGGCGGGTGAACGGCGGCTTCCCCACTCCTCTCCCCC